CCCTATTCCCCAGGGCTTCCTCTTAGCATCCCGAAGCGCTGTGTCTGACGACGGCCCAGAGCACGGCGACGGCGCCCCCCCGGAGACTGGACAGGACCAGAGAGCCGCAGCCGCCTTGACTGTTGCCTTTCAATACCTGGCGTGGGAACAAAAAAAACACGTGCCCTGGGGACACGAGTCCTGGACCCCGTGGCGCTCCCCCGTGACCAGCCCTCCGGGCCGCGTTCTGACGGCCCCGGGGCCCGTGCAGGGCCCCGGGAGCCCGAGAGCGGCGGCAGGGAGCTGCTGCGAAGGAGGCCGCAGGGGGAGCTCCCTCGGAGCGTGGGCATCCAGGTGCTCGCAAAACGAACTTCAGGATCTCTGGCAGCCTCGCAAAGCATCAGGCCGCGGTGACCACACCTCCCCTTCTGGTCGCTTCGGCCAACCAGCTTCACCCTGCGCCCACATTCCTGTTAGCTCGGGTTCCCAGTTGAGCTCGACGAGGAACTGTTTCCCTCGGGACCCGTTTCAATTTGGAGGCGGCAAGGGATATGAGCTGGTTGGGCCCCGACGTAATCGGTCAAGAAGGGGGGACGAAGCCAAATCCGCTCAAAATCGGTCCCTGGAACTCTGGGGTCCATCTGTTGCAATTTTCCATCCCGAATGTGCTTTTGACGGTCCTAAGGCCTTCTCGAACCCAGCACCTCGAACCTGCCCCCCCCCTCCTGCTGGCCAAGAAGCGGAGCTGGGCGCCTCGGACCCCCCCCCGGCCGGCTCCGAGGTGGAATCCTGGCGAAGTGCGCTGGGGGTCTCTCGGCGGCGACGATAGGGGGGAATAGCCCAGGGGCGGGCATTACACGTATTCGCCCGGGGGCCTTTTCGAAGACATGGATCATCGGCGCACCTGAGCACATGTATTGCCCTCCCCTGGGCTACTCGCCCCCGTCGTCGCCTCTGAGTCTCCGAGCCTCTGGACGCCGCCAGCGGCCGCCCCGATCAGCAGCTCTCCCAGCGACACGGCCGGCGGCGCCGCCGGCTGTGGGCGCGAGCGGGCCGCGCGGGTGCGCGGCGGCGGGCGGGCCCCGTCGGCCGCGGGCGGGGCGGCGGCGGGGCGCTTCAGCGCGGGCGCGGGGGGCATGGCGCCAGGGAGGGCTCGCAGTACGGGGAGGCCGCTCCTGGGAGAGCTTCGAGGCAGAGCTAATGATGATGATGATGATGATGATGATGATGATGATGATGATGATGATGATGATGATGATGATGATGATGATGATGATGATGATGATGATGATGATGATGATGATGATGATGATGATGATGAGGGGGAGGAGGAGGGAAGGAGGAGGAGGAGGAGGAGGAGGAGGAGGCGGGGGAGGAGAAGGAGGAGGAGGAGGAGGATGAGGAGGAGGAGCGAGGAGGAGCGAGGAGGAGGATGAGGAGGGAGAGTTCCTTTTCGTTTTCGTTTTGTTTTCGTTTTCCCCTGTTTTGTCTTCAATCCGCCTGTAATGCAGAACGAGATTGAAACGAACACGGCCCACGAAATCGCCCAAACACCGTTTAGGTCCATCCCTGCTTCGAGGGATACATGGTGGCCTCCCAGATGGGGTCGGAGCAGATGAGGCCGGAGGATCGCGGCGCATCGTCGGCACATCACCGATGCATCGGTGACTTCGGCGTGGAGAGAATCGGGATCCACGTCGAGCCGCACCGCTGATGTGTCGGCGATGCGGCCTAATCCTCAGACCCCATCTAGTATCTACTCCGGCCCCATCTCAGGAGGCCTAGAGAGGAAACGACTCGGGACATTGAGGAAAAAACACGGGGGAACGATCAAACACACGCGAGTTCCAACGGCCAGGAAACAACAGACTGGGCAGACCTCGAACAATCCCCACGATCGCGTCCCAATGTATCATTCGTCGCCCAGCACGCTGCTCCGTGACGGGTCCCTTGGGCATTTCATCTTCATCGTATAATATTTCACGCCATCCAAGGGCCATTGAACCAAGTAACGCCCGCGAAGACGGACGAGTAAGCCGGATGAAGGAGGGCCATGATTGATTAACAAGGTGAGGGCATATCCCGAGCACAGATATACCAGGTCGGATGATCAATTCAACTATATCAAGTAAACCCAAGAATTTTCGCCAGCGTGGACCCCAAACACTCATTTATAACCCTGTGGATGTGAACTCTATGTGGTATAAGCTAGATATGTGGTGCAGCGTGGTGAAGAACACGTGGTGCAAGCTAAAGGTGGCAACGAACTGGCCACGGGCGGCAACGTGGCGAAACCTCGCCGGATCCACCCAGCGCACGAGGCGGCCACGAGGCGGCAACGTGGCGAAACCTCGCCGTACCCACCCAGCGCAGGAGGCGGCCACAAAGCGGCCACGAGGAGGCAACGTGACGAAACCTCGCGGGACCCATCCAATTCCGCAGTGACATAAGTAAGAACCCCTAAGTGCAAATACGGTTGGGGTGTAATCCTCTGGACAAGTGGACAAAAAGACTCCCCCGC